AATGACAACAGAACTGGTGTCATTTCTGAAGCATGTAAGTTTATCCAGGATGCAGATACGTTCATGAAGAACATAGATTCCATCAAAGGTTGCAGAATAGATGAGAACCACTTCGACTTAGAAAAATATAGCTCATTTTATTGCAAACAAGATGTAAGAATTTTAAGAGAAGGTTTTGTAAAGTTCCGCAATGACTTATTGAAAGAGTTTGATTTAAACGTTTATGACTACGTTAGTATTTTGTTCTATTGCTAACAAATTGTTTGAGAACAGAGTATACTTCCCGAATGGAAATCTTTATGACCTCTCAAATAAACCAAGAGAATTTATTTCGAGATGCATTCAAGGTGGAAGATGTATGTTGTCAGATAACATGAAACAAAAGAGCGAAAAGAAACTTATTGCTGACTTCGACGCTGTTTCATTATATCCATCCGCTATAGCAAGATTTATACTTTAGAAATTCCAAAGTATGAAGGATGAGATGCTAAGCACAGAGTATCTCATGAGACATTTATTCGATGACGACCAAAAGGAACCCATTGGTGAAAAGTTTATGTCTGGCTTCTTTGTTCTCATTAAGATAACAGAGATTGGATACATAGACACTTTCCTTTAATAGTTTGTGACCCTGAACTAAATCCAGAACTTAACGTTCCCAGAAGTTCAAACACTTGCTGTTTAATGTATGTTGACCATATAACATTACAAGACCTCATAAAATATCAAGGTGTCAAATGTGAAGTGTTGCAAGGATACTATTACGATGGAAACAGAGATATTAGAATAAGAGATGAAGTAAAGAAGTTGTTTGAGTTAAGGTTAAAGTATAAGAAAGAAGGAAATCCTTTGCAAGAAAATATAAAGCTCATTCTGAACAGTATTTATGGCAAAACTATTCTATCTCCTATTGAGTCAAAATAACCATAGTAGATGACAAAGATGCTATAAGATATGCCATCAGAAACTACAACCATATAGTGAAGTTCGAAGGTTTGGATGGTTCAGATAAAACTATTTTCAAGCTAACGAAAGCATTTGCAGACACTTTAACTTCTGTCCACTTGGTGTTAATATTCTATCAATGTCGAAGAGAATAATGAATGAAGTGTTTTGCACGATTGAAGACTTAGGATTAAAAGCATTTTATCAGGATACAGATTCGATGCACATTTACAATGAAGACATACCACGTTTAGCTCATGAATTTAAGAAGAGATACGGTAGAGAACTTATTGGTAAAACATTAGGTCAATTTCATTCTGACTTCGCAGAAATAACACCTGGAAAACAAAGTTTAGCATACAAGTCAATATTTTGTGGAAAGAAGACTTACATAGACTTACTCACTAACGATTTAAATGAAGTTGCATTTCACTGCAGAATGAAAGGCGTGAAGCAAGATGTTATTGCTTTAACCGCTAATGAAATGTTTCCTGACTCTGTTCAGTGTTTCTATGATGAAGATAAAGGTTTAATGGTTCCGCAAGGAAAATTTGACAAAGACTCTGAGTTCAGTGTCATGAAACTTTATAAAGCACTTTATGACGGTCAAGAGATTGGATTTGACTTATGTAAGTCATGTCAACCTTGCTTTGAAGAGAAGTTTAACTTCTCAATAACGACTAAAACAAGCTTTATTCGTAAGTTGAAGTTCTGAGGTCATTTATTTTTGTCAGCAATGAGGTCAGCAATGAGGTCATGAATGAGGTCATATAGTCAGAATGAGGTCATTCGTGATAAAAATAAAGCTAGCGTAGATTTTACAATACTGCGATGGTAGAGTTTAAGAGTTGTGCTTCAATGTAGAGACAGTCCTTATCTGGAGGTAAGAACACTGGCATTTATGGTCATGAGTGGAGAACATGTCTATCCAAAACTCACGATTGAAGCCAGTTAATTTATAGTATTTAGGGTTAGGAAGTGGTGAAGTTCTTGTATGACCAATGAACTCATTTTCAACGCCTTGGCTTATTAGAGTAAAGTATTAGCTTGCTTTCTATCCCAAATGCCAGGTGTTACAATCTTTGAAAATTCATTTTTCCTCGGAAGCATTGCATCATAATTGAAAACATTCTTGAAATCATCACTTGGTTCAGAGATTTGAAATCTTATACGTAATGGATTTTCTTTCTCTTTAGCGACTTCATTGAATGGTGAGAATACAATGAATTGACAGTCATGAGTTCCATCTTCATTTTCATTAAATTCATAATGAAAGTCTATAAGTTGTGGCTGACTACCTTCTTCTTTCAGTTGTGCAAGAAACTCACGTAAAGGCTGTAAAGTTTGTACTTCAATGTTGAACTTTTTCTCGAACATCTCATTAAATGAAATCATACATTGCAACAATGTTGTATCGTCTTTAAAGTATTTGTATATGTGAATGTTTTGGGCGCTTAAAGACTGTTCGTCATTTTCTATCTCGACTTGAAGTATAAAGTCAACCTTTCTGAAAGCACGTGTTATATACATAGATGTTATGCCAATGTACTTCTCTTCATTTATGTTCACAATCCAGTCTGTTGGAAACTTAAACGTTACTCTGTTCCCCTTTATTTTGACGTCAGGGTTTTCACTACTGAACGCAACAGATAAAGGTATTTGTCTATACATTTAATTCGGATAAAAATAAACCATTTACTCTTTCTTTGCTTCAGCTTCTTTAGCTTTTGCTTCAGCTTCTTCTCTAGCTTTCTTCGCCAGCAAACGTGGGTTCTTTTGTCTTCCAGCAGCTAATGCAGCTAGTTGTTTTTCACTAAGTTTTCTCTTTGGTCTCTCTGGCTTTTGTTCTTGTTTTTGTTCCTTCAGTTCGGATAAAATTTGCTCACGAATTTCTTTCTTCAATGCTTCAACATCTATGACCCCTTGGGTCTTGTCCGTAGGGCTTGTCTGAGTCATTTGACTGCAGATAAAAAACAAAATTAAAACTTTAACCGATGTAAAATGAGCTTGTCAAAATCAGAGCGAGAGTCTATTATATTAAATGACGCAAGAGGAATACAACATCCTTTCTATTATGTAAGTCAGAGTAAAGATGGTAAAATATACGTAAGAAAAAGAAAGGTTCCATTAGCGAATGCAGAGAGCGACAACATTAAGGTGCATGGCAGGGGCGAAGCCCATATAAAACCTTCTGTTCAAACTGAGCCACCAAAGAACAGAAGAAAAGAAGCCAGATGTACTTTCAATAACGAACCAAGAGCTTATTGCAAAGTTCGTGAATTTCATTGAAAAACAAACCGAGTCAAAGAACCCTGACCCGCCAGTGAAAGAAGTTGAGACAAAAGAGAATGTACAGTTCATTGAAAATGTCAAGAAACAACTTCCACCACGAATGCCAAGAAGAAGAGTGAGAATAATGAAGTAAATAGATATTTTTATCTGAAGTAAATACATGCAGAACGAACAGCTAAACGAATTTACTCCAGCAGAGCATATTCATCAGATTCGCTCATATTTCGATATCATAGACAATGCAGTTCAAATTGGTGACACTAATAGAAAATATTCTGACGCAAAGATTCCATCACAACCTGGAACTGCTAAAGATAACACATGGGTAACATTCAATCTCTCACCTCCTGGTGAAAATATGTTGGACCTTTACAATACATTCATTACGTATAAAATGGAAGGTCAATTTATTGTAGATAAAGAAATTGGTTCAGGTTCCAATAAAACAAACCCACCAGGATTTTGGATTGGTTTCGATGACGCTTTCTATGCAGTTGCTGGATATCAAATCCTTGCAAATGGTCGTATCGTATATTCTCAAGACAACGCAAGAGAAGAAGCATATATAACTTCAAACTCACAAACTACCGAACAAATAAAGAAAGTAGATGTTTTCTCAAAGACTCGACATGAAGATGTATGGAGTCATTCGGGAACATGCAGAACAGGACAAATTGTTAGTGGTCCAATTACAGCAGGAAAATCATTTGATTTTAAGCTTCGTTTAAGAATTCCTGTTAGAAGATTCCTTCCATTAGAAGCTATTCGATTTATTCCAGCTTTTGCAGGAAACATTCAGCTTAAAGTAAAGTTCAGTAGCGACGCCTTACAATGCACATCTATATCTGTAAATGATATCATTGCTTTCAATCCAACTCTTAAAGTTGCATTTGCTTCAGATTCAAATCCACCGACAAATAAATTTGTTCCATGGAATGAACCATTCACTATGATAACGAAGGCAGTAGAAGCTAGTGGAACAGTTACTATTACAACTGTAACCCAGCAACTATTTCGAACAAAGATGGATTTTAATGAATGTTTCATTCATCCAAAGTCATTCTCTTTAGACCCTAACATTTATACAGAACTTGTAGAACATTATACAAACGAGGCTTTATGTTTTCCTGTTAAAGTTATGGATTGGATTCCTATGGACGGTTCATTCTCAAAGAATACAGATAGTTCAAGTGCAACATTTACAGCAGCTTATACGCCTATTAATGTTAAAAGTATTTGGGCACTATTTAGAAAGAAAGACAACTATTATGTTAATTTTGAGAACCCTAAGTTTAAATATCTTCAGCTTTCCATGGGAGCTTATGGAAATATGCCTGCAGAACCTGAAAAATCATATGGACCTGTATTTTATGAAATGGTTGCGAACGCTTGCAATACAAACAATGATATGATAGGATTTAATGAAGATGTTATGAGGTCATTGGTGGATGATGGTAGTGTGGAACATAAATGGGATAGCTATGACAACACACATTTCTTATGTGGTTTTCCAACAGAAGTGGACTTTTGCTTCCAGCAAGGTCAAACATCTACTGCTCCAATAACATACAAATTGTCTGTTAAAGGACCTATTGAACTAGCAACTGAAAACGTACCAAAGCCACTTATTGGATTTATGAGGGATTGTTGCTTTGCCATTCAGTGCGTGCTAATGGCATCCCAATAATAAGATTAGATACTATAACTTAGCTACGGACGACAGTGAGGAATAAAGGATGAACGTTTATTTTTAAAGCTTATAAATGAGTTCTTCATCAAGCTCTCGTGAACCTTCACCATCTATGAAACAAACTTTACCAAACGATTATGGAGCACCTATTGAATATTTCTTACGAGCTGCACAATGGCAAAGAGCAGTCTCACCAAGGTTAGGTGTTCCACCAGCTCCTGTCAAAAATAGCATTTGGTCAAGTCCTTATATAAAATATGGTCTCCCACTAGGTTTGCTAGCTACAGCAGGAGCAGTTATGATGTTGAAAAGAAATAAAGCAAATGTTGTAAATAATACTGAAGTAGCTGAAGTTAAACAAACTCCAACACCTTCGCCAACCAAAACCAACGCCTTCACAAGCAAAACCTTCAATGACTCCTGAACCTATGGAAGTACAAACTCCTGTTCAAAAGTCAACTCCTAAACCGACTCCAACATTTAAACCAGAACCTACTCCTCAAATAAATCGTAAAACTCCTGCGTTTCCTTACTGAAAAAATAACGTTATTTTTATTTAATATTAAAATTTTTATTTGATTGAAATGACGACTAAAGTCACTGAAGCAATGAAACAAAAGTTTTTGGTAGAATACATTAAATCAGGAACTATTCCAGAAGGTTTTTACATTCATACTATGAAGGATGGTAGAGTTCAGTTTAGAAAGATAAAGCAACCATTAGATAAAGAAGGAATTTTGAGAAAGATTAAATTACATGAAGACAACATTGCTGAACTTAAGAAGAAGTTAGAAGAGTTGGATAAAGGAAGAGAGTTATAAAGCAATGAATTCAACAGGGTGAAAAAAGAGGTGAAAAGAGGTGAGATCTCACCACTTCACCTAAATTTATTTTTGTGCTATGTTTTCATACGTGTGAGGTGGTGATATCATTAATTTTTAAGTTTATTTTTAATTATTTTTATTTTATTTGGATGTAAATGACAGAACAAAAGCAACTCATTCGAATTCCACATATAACAAACATACATTTAAACATTTATTCTTCCTTCCTGAGCATAACATGTTCTTTCAAATACATCCGAGACCAGTTGACTTTTCATTGACTGTGTATAAAGATAGAAATAGTTATATCATTAAACCATACGATGACGAAGGTAAGTTATGTAAATTGTACGTTAAGAAGTTAGAGAAAGTTTATGGCTTCAAGTATGACTACAATAGGGTTAACACTGATGATGAAGATATTGAGGAAAATTTATGAGAACATTAGTGAAGTCGTTAGTGAGAATGATAGTGAGAACGTTTATTTTTTACATTAGTGAGTTCGTTAGTGAAGTGGTTGGTGGTTTTGTAAATATTTAAGGTTAAGTTAGTGTTGTCGTTTGTGTTGTCGTTTGTGTTGTAAAATATACGTTAACGGTTTTGTAAAGTGTCAAATTCACAAGTATTGGGTAAGGTGGAACGCAGTGCCACCATACCCAAGACTTGTATACTAACTAGCGCCCAATATCTTACTGCGGTTTCTGGCCCGGCATGCTCTAATCGCGTCTTGGTGAAATGATTTTCTTTGAAGTATCTGCGTACTTCTCTATAAGATACATCAATTTGTTGTAATTTCAAACGTTTCCATTGTTTTGTTTGACCACAGGGAAAGGCCCAGTGGTCATGTATCACAGCAAGAGCTTTGATTTGGTCGTAGGGATTGACCCTACAACCTTTCTTGCCTTTAGGCAATGGGATATTCTGTAAGCTAAATTGATTTTGTAAAAAAGATTTTGAAACATCTAAATATTTGAAATCATTTGATTGAAGGGTTGGGGCGATGGGAACATGGGTGCAAGCTTCTTCCCATGTCATTTTACCTTCTTCAATCTGATTGGAAATACCAATTAGGTAAATTCGATCGACATACCCTTTGTAAGGATTCATTCTAATGAAGTACGTTAACAATTAAAATATTCTATAAGTGTCTAGTATGGAATTCAAAAGAATAAAGAAAATGGTAACGTAAATAAACGTATTATGAAATAATTTATAATTAAAATGAAAAAAAGAAAAAATAATAAGTAAAGTGACTGGAAATGAAAATTAAAATCAGTGAACAGTTTTATTTTTTTCTCGCTGTGAAACGTATTCGGTCATTTTTTTAAAAAGTAATTTTTTGTTAGAGATAAGAGCTAAAACTCGGTAAACAACTTCTTTATGTCTAGAAAATTCTATCTTGCCTTTTATTTTTTTCTCGCTGTGAAACGTATTCGGTCATTTTTTTAAAAAGTAATTTTTTGTTAGAGATAAGAGCTAAAACTCGGTAAACAACTTCTTTATGTCTAGAAAATTCTATCTTGCCTTTTATTTTTTTCTCGCTGTGAAACGTATTCGGTCTTTTTTTTAAAAAGTAATTTTTTGTTAGAGATAAGAGCTAAAACTCGGTAAACAACTTCTTTATGTCTAGAAAATTCTATCTTGCCTTTTATTTTTTTCTCGCTGTGAAACGTATTCGGTCATTTTTTTAAAAAGTAATTTTTTGTTAGAGATAAGAGCTAAAACTCGGTAAACAACTTCTTTATGTCTAGAAAATTCTATCTTGCCTTTTATTTTTTTCTCGCTGTGAAACGTATTCGGTCTTTTTTTTAAAAAGTAATTTTTTGTTAGAGATAAGAGCTAAAACTCGGTAAACAACTTCTTTATGTCTAGAAAATTCTATCTTGCCTTTTATTTTTTTCTCGCTGTGAAACGTATTCGGTCTTTTTTTAAAAAGTAATTTTTTGTTAGAGATAAGAGCTAAAACTCGGTAAACAACTTCTTTATGTCTAGAAAATTCTATCTTGCCTTTTATTTTTTTCTCGCTGTGAAACGTATTCGGTCATTTTTTTAAAAATTAATTTTTTGTTAGAGATAAGAGCTAAAACTTTGCAGACAACTCCCCCATGTCTAGCAAATTTAACATTCGTCTCCCATTTTTATATATTTGGTTTAGAATGTTCGAAAATGCGTAATATGGTCATTAATATTAATTGAAAAGAACCTTGAATTAATTCAATCTGATCTCACAAAATATTTTAAATTACAAACTTTGTAGTTTGAATAGATAATTAGTAGTAAACTCAAATAACTAGTTTATTTTTGAATAAAAATTATTTGAATTTATTCAATTTTGTGAATTTTCCTTCAAAAATCAAGTTTAAATATCGTATTTGCCATATAATTATAAATACAATGAAACATATTCGAAATTGAAAAGAATGACTTTTTCTGTTCTTTCAATCATTCAATTTGAATTTTGCAATATTGGATTTCGCAGTAAATAGCTATTAAAAACAACAAGCAATTTAACATACATTCAAATTTATTTGTGTGATATTCAATCTTCTCAAAACTTATAATTTTCGGCTATAGCATGATTATATGCTATATAATATAATAAACCTATAATAGTATCATTCTTTCAATTATTTGAAGAGAAAACCGAAAAAATCTATTTTCGGTCTATAACAGAAAATATTTCGGAGGTAGATAAAATGGTTTTAATAAACTAAGTACATCTGAATATACAGATTTGAAATATGTAATTAAATCTCCTTTCTAAAATTGAATAATGTCAATTTTTAGTAAAATTGGAATTTATATATCAATTAAATAATTGACCTTGGGCTATAAAATATTCATGATCTCGTTTACAAGATAATTGAATGAGCATTCACAATTTAATGGAACAATTTAATAAATTAAAAATAAACTAAGAATAGAATAATTAGAAATAAGTATAAAAATAGTTAACTGATTTTTGTAACCGAAAAATTACGATCGTACAGATTTCTAGAATGAAACTTAGAATCAGATTCCAAATATATCAATAATTATCACGACCGATATTTTCAAAATTGTGAGAACAAAAATTTTGTGTTTTTAAATTGAGCAAAATTATATCAACATAACCTCATAAACAAAATACTCAACCAAATAGGACAGACAAAAATTTTCCCTAACCGTTTGCTCTCAAAAAGGTTAGGCCAAGCTCTCAATTTTTTTGGTCGATCGACAAAATTTGTGAGAAAATTACGGTTGAGTTTGTTGTTTTGAATGCCCATGGAAGAACAAGTAGCAATGATGAGGCCTGTTTCACATTTCGCCCCTCGATCGGTACTTTTCGATGGACTGGAGTATGGAGCTGATCCAAGAGAGCTACTAGCTTCTCTTCTACAGAAGGATGTTAGCGAAATTACAGAGTCTGAAGACATGGTGTGGAAAAAGTTGTATGACTTGACCTATCATGGCGGCATGGCAGCTTCACAGAAACCCATTCTCGACAACTTCAGCTCAGTCCTTTCGCTTATTGAAAAGTCCAATAAAGTTGTCGTAATTCTCGGAGCTGGTGGTAGCGTTGGACCAGATTTTCGTTCCGTTGGTGGACTCTATGACTCAATAGCCAAAGATGGCGTATTTGACGATCCATGTCAAGTTTTTGATCTTGAGTATTTTCAAAAGGATCCATCAATTTTCTGGCGTTACGCTCACACCATATTCCCTGATAGACAGCCTAAGCACTCAGCGGCTCACTATTTCATTCAAGAATTAGAGAACCGCGGAAAACTTTTACGTCTTTACACACAGAATGTTGATGCTCTTGATATTGGCGTTCCACCGAAGCATCTCCGCACAGTTCACGGTTCATGGAGAGAGTCATACTGCATGAAATGCGGTGCACTTCATCATATTGAGGACATCAGAGATGCTGTCGAGAAACGCGAGGTGCCAACATGCCATTTCTGCGGAGGTGCAATCAAACCAGGCATTGTTTTCTTCGGCCAGTCCGTAAATCTTAACGATTACGAATTGGAGATGGATGCTCATGCCGCTGACCTCCTTATAGTCATTGGTACATCACTCAGGGTTGCACCTGTATCAGAAATACCAAAACTTATGAAGAATGTTCCTTCTATCCTTATTAATAGAGAAACTGTTAAGTGCGACTTCTCTGCAGAGCTACTTGGCGAGTGCGATGATGTTGTTAGAACTATCGAGTACGAACTTGGATGGGAAGCTGACGAAGGAGTCAATCCAGAAGAGATTCAAACATACGGCTCAAATCAGTTCATTTTCCCATCCAATTCGGAGCTTGGAGCAAGGATCGAGACAACATCGCGTAATCAGTTCCTCGTCACTTCAGCACCTGTCGACGTTGACGACCTTAATTAGCTGTATATTAGATATTTTCTACTTTTTGTTTTGTAAATAAATATAATCTGTCATATTTGAATTCTCTCAATTTTTTCTGAGGAATTTACAAAACTGGGCGAGAATATTGAAGACAATGAAATTTCTGTACTTTAATAATCATCATTGGTTTTCTGGTTGAGTCTTGGATCTATTTCAATTTCTCCGGATTTCGATGAATCACCGGACATTTGGCTGATTGAAATTTATGTCTGCAAAAAAGTAGAGTTGTGTAGGTTTCTCAAATAGAGGAACTCTTGTTAGGAGTAGAAAGTGTGAAATCTGAAGAAATGGCTTGGATTTTACCTTCAGACGAGTGACATATTGACAGATCCGAATGTAATCTAAAAGTTGCGATGTAGATCAGATGAATTACATTTGTATACGTGGAAACAGTTATGATAATAAGTGAGGAACTGCTCTGCACGGGTTCAATGTGGTTCGGATACTTGTGACTCTCTGTGTGAAGCGAAACCGATAGTAAAGTCTTGTATTTGACCTGTATAAGTAGTGCTAGTAATCTTTTGCGCGGAGTATGATTCAATTCTAGATAATATTGAGTTTGCCTTGTTGAGAATCGGTTTTGACTGTCGGATACCCGATGAAATGATAGTTGACATAATAGCAAGTGTAACTCTTGGTGTTTGGCTGTGTTTGTGGATGAGGAAACTTACGAAAACTTCACTAAAAAATTAATCCAGTAAAAGATTTTGAGAAAAATTTTTTCAGAATTTACAATCGTAAATTTACAGAGGGGAGATGACTTTTTTACCGATCATAGCAGATTAATACCAGGAAGGGAGACTGACCCCATGGGAAGCTCTGGTGAGCTGATGCATTTCATTTTGATATCAGTCATCCATGCAAATTTTCAGAATTTGGATGTTGTTGACATATAATTTCAGAAATTATCCATAGATTTAGGATATTTTAGCGGAACATTCACACAAAGTATTCAAATTTGAAACGATATTTGATTTCTGCTACATTATTTATTCATCATCTCATTATATCTCTCTAAATTCGATTACATTATGCTGCATACACTATATCATCTATGGGTTCTATGAATCAAATGATATTTTATGATTTTCTTTGAGAGATTAATTTGTGATTTATTTGTCTTCTGATATGGATAAGATAGGAAATTTTAATTCGTGAATTAAATTCCTTAATACACACCACATTCCTGTTCATACTTTTAAAAATCTTGATTGATAAATAACTGCACATTATGTGAGAGAGTTGTGAATATGAAATCATGACAAAACGAGTATTCGCATTAATCCAGTATATTAACAAAGAGATTTTGAGGCTATATTGATAGCATTTCTCTCATAATGACAAACATTTTTTCATAAGATCTTATGTAATATGATTATTCTTTGTTAGTTCTCAGTTTTCTAATATATTATTAGTGAAGTTTGAGTTAATGGTAATGTTGGGAGCGTGATTTATAACGAATATGATTATAATTATCGAACATTAAAAATCATGTATTATTAGAACACTATATCAGCTCGTGCATTGTCATATTTCTGGCATATCTTTTGATTTGATTGTTGATTTGTTCGTCAAACATTCAAACCTTCAAATTTTTCTATGGAGAAATACCAATTAGCTTCAGTCATGACAGACAAGTATTTAACGACGAACAATTAAATTTATAAAACCAATTTTTTATGAAATAAATGTCAAAAAAACCAAATTAAAAGCAGAAATACAACCTTATTCGAAATTGCTATTGAGCCAAGGACGAATATTTTTATTTTCAATGGATTGAGACAAAATAACATCAACAAATTCTTTATGATTTTATTAATCTTATCAAACACAGCATAATTTATTTTTGAATTAATTTCAACAAAAATATTTTATCGTTTTGTTAATAGCAAATGTATTTAAAAATACTCAATATCAATCAACGAGTAATTTTTAATAAATTACATGGTCGATCACAACTCAATTTTTATGCATTCACGATATTTCTAAACAAAATCTATTTTCTAATAGTAAATACTATATCTAGCAGATTTGAGGTCAAAATGATGGGCGGTCATTCAGCTCTTAATAAATTGAAGGACGACATTGAATCATAAATTTTAATCAAAATGCGTCCTATCAAGAACGTCTTGTTTGATGCCGATGGAGTCTTATGGGTTGGTGGAAAGACAATCCCAGCCGCACCCGATGCAATCCAAAAGCTTAGAGAAATGGGCTTAAATGTTTTCGTAGTTACAAATAATCCCACACATACCAGACAAGCAATTGCTGACAAAATGATGGGAAGAGGCTTCAAGAATATCACTAAAGATATGATTGTTTCTGCTGGTTATGTTACTGCTCAATTCTTAGTTTCAAAGGGATTCACAAATCAAAAACGTAAAGTATTCGTTGTTGGTGAAAAAGGATTGATCCAAGAGATGAGAGATAATGGAATCAATGCAATCGGTGTTGATGATCTTCCAGATGATCCAATAGAAAACTTAAAATTAGATCCAAGCATATTGGCTTGCGTTGTCGCCTTAGATATGACACTTACCTATCGTAAACTTGCTATTGGTAACCGTGTCGTTGTAGAGAACGATGCAATGTTAATTGGCACAAATTGTGATAACGCATTGCCACTTGGTAACGGTGTTTTCGTCCCAGATGCATTTCCAAACATTCTTGCTCTCGAAAACTCTTCTGGCAGAAAGGCTATTGTTCTTGGCAAGCCTTCTCCTCTTATGTTCGAACCATTACACACAGTTCGTGGCTTAGACGTAGGAGAAACCCTTATGGTTGGCGATAGACTTAACACAGATATCTTATTCTCTAAGAACATCGGCTCTCGCGGTTGTCTTGTCCTTACCGGTATCACAACACGCGAAGATGCAATGTCTGTTCCAGTCGAAGAGCGTCCAAACTACATTTGCCAGTCAATAGGTAATATCCCAGAACTTGTTGAACAAGTTAATGCTGAATGCGAAGAACTTAAGGGTTCTGATTATGAATAAACATATCTATCTTCTATTACAATATATTAGATATACACATTAGATGTTTTTGACTAATATGTATCATGTTAAGGAATTAATTCATTACAAACAAAATTTGAGATTTTTTTATTGCTCGAAAACTCAAAGATATGACTTTGAATTTAACAAACACCTAATGATGTGATTTAAATTTTGAATTCTGTTCTACATCATTTATTGATCAAGTTTTTGATATTTTTATCTAAAACGAAGTTCTTAATATTTACAATAATTCAATGGGATATGATCATTTTTGATTAAAATGGAATAATCAGGTTGGTAATAAAAAAAATAAAGGATATATATGATATGGGGTGAAGTATTTAGTTTAATATATCCCAAACCAATAGCTAATGGTTGGTGTAGATGTGGTTCTCTTTTTAAAGGTTCGATCCAATGAGATAATTCGAAACCTTAGCAACAGCACCAGAAAGGGAAGCTGGATGGAAATCACCATTGGAATAGCCAGCAATGATGAGGGTCTTAGTCTTCTGGAGGACAACAGCTTGCTTGCCTTTCATTGCAAAAACCATTTCGGAGTTTGCACTATTGCAAATAAATTTTTGGTTGCCATACATGAATCCACTGAGAGCTGGTGATGGGTCAGTAAAATAAGTTGTGTACTTAACAAGTTCGTCTGCTGTAGCTGACCACTGGCCCTCAGAAGCACAAAGGGCTCCCTGTTGGGTAATGATAGCACATCCTGTGGATTGAGTCTTAAGTCCGACAAGTTGATCGTTCCAAGACATTCCTTGAATATTAGTGAAGTGATATTTTGAATTTATGCATTACTGATTATTTGAATTTCGAAATATTATTATCAATAAGGTATTCCGCATTTAGAAATCATCCAATCAATAAGCTCTGAAAAGTTGAATCTGTTGAAAGAAAAATTGTGATATTTATATAAAACAGAGAAAACTTATTTAAGGAATTGATAGTATTTTTAATCAGAAATAATTGATAATGAAAAATGTGCGGCTGATAGTAAAAATTGATTTGTAATTGATTTTAACAACAATTCATAATAATGGTTGGTAACAACATATCAAATCAAAAGGGAATATAAGATTTTCAAGGATTTAGGAGAATATTTATCGTTGAAACAAACAGATGACACAAAAAGTATAGTATATATGAATCATCAAGGCTAGCGATAAGGTGATTTCTAGCTTCTTGAATCAATTTTTCACTTTTGAGAGGAGTACAATTGAAATGAACAGAAATCCTTAAGCATTTTCAATTTATTTTTACCTTTTTTGTAATTTCTAAATACGGCCAACAGATAAAAATTAAAAACTAAAAGAAGTTTAAATTTTGATATAGAATTCAATTTTTTCATACCATAAAACACAACATCGATCTTTTTTATAATCAGATGATTTATCTTTTTCTTTTCAAATTCATGCACGTTTCATAATTGAAAATATTCCTATCTATTGAATGATTATTTCATTGATATATAATTGAGATATCAAAATTGCGGATTTTAAAATAAGGCGATTTTTGAAATTCATTTGAATATCTGAACCAATAACCGTACTAAAATAAGGAATAATCTAGAACGGATTTTTAATTGTTTTTACTAATAATTTTTTCCTTAATTTTTGTGTCATAAAAATTTTAGAATGTTTTTTTCTCTCTTATTTCAAACATCGCTTTGCGAATGTCCATCAGATCCACTCAAACTAACTACTACAGGTCAGCATATGTTCGCTATGGTTGAAGGCTCTGTTGTTTGCATGCAAGCAACTGAAGATAATACAGTTCTAATTTTTGATTTCATTGGCAATGCTACTGCTACAGTTTGCATCAATAACAACGATGGAGAATGTACAGAAGTAGGAAAACTCGGTCTTTTTGGAAATAACACCAATATTACTGGAATTTGGTTTGGACGCAATAAAGGATTAATTGAAGTTACAACACAACATGTCCTTACGATCAAATTCACATATGCAATATTGCCTACTTTATGTGATAAAATGCTAATCACAAACACAAGGAATTACACTATCAATATTTCTAGGAGTGATTTAGACAAATATGTGTATTTTTGCTTTTTCGCTGCAACCTATGGAACATATGCTTACAAAGTTTCATATAACGTTTCTGATGATGATAAGCTTCATATCATTCGAAAAGACAATGTTCCTAGAAATTATGGCGGTCTTAATCGCTTTTCAGGCAATTCGGTAAAGGATGATCCAATAGTTATTACATTAGACACAACAAACGACGCTTTATCATCAGAATTGACTATATCATTGCTGGGCGAAGATATCATCCCAGATACAAATATAACTACATATCTAAATGGATCTGATTACGCGTTTTTAAAAGGACAATTTCTTAACGACTTTCCACCTCCAGAAGTTGATGATAAGTACAGTAACATCATCTCAATTACACTAATTGTTATATTTGCCGGATGTGGCGTTGGCTGCATCATTTATAGAATTGTTTCTTATTACAAGAAAAAGAAAATGCGTGAATTGCTAAGAATTGAACGTCTAAAGGCACCAAAAAGAAGATTCAGAAAGATTATTCATAATAAGCCAAAAAACGAAGCAGAACCAATGGCTTATAACGATGGAGAGGCTGATTTTGTTTTAACTACAAATAACGAAGCCTACAATATGGCAACTCACGATGATCCTCATGAATTATAATTATATATTGTTATGTTTTTTATAATTTTTATAAAATGTACTTTGTTTTTTTATGTTAAATGCATGCTGTTTTTCTATTCATCTGATTTAAAGAAAAATTACAATCATTGATGGGAAAAATCAAAATCAAAGATGTTTTTTTATTAATATGTTGAATTTTCTGAATATATATTACAGCATGCTACTTAATACAGCAACGCATGAATGTTATTAAGTTTTCATTAGAATGAGCAGATTATTATTGAATTTGATTAATGTGATGCCTGCTTCGGAGGAAGAGTATATTTATTTCCAACCAATATTCAAATTCATACATTCATTTCTATAGTTTTTTGACAAATTCTACTAAAATTTCAACATATTTTATATGTTTTTTATGTGAAAAAGCGAATTTTCCAGGGTTACAAGGATTACTGACTGTTTTATAAAAATAAAAAGCTCATTCTTTTTTCAATTTTAAACGAACGATATGTAAATTTCTTAGTTCGCATTCCAATGTCGTCTGATAAACTAAGGAAGGAACTTCGTGAAAAAGCAAAAAAGATTTCAGAAAATCAACAGAAAGTCAATGATGCACAAGCAATTATTGATTTCATGCCTTCCATTCCAAAACTTCTCACCTTCGACCCAGAAGGACTTAATTTAACATTAACATCACACAACAAATTGCCAGAAGATATATCTGAATGGGCCATTAATTTAACAATTAAAAATATGAGCGAAATTTATCAGAAGTCATGGCAATGGGACGAAGAAACAAAACAAGAGGAAATATTAAACAGAAATGCTAGGTACCTTGTTGCATATAAAGGAGACGACGATCCTGTAGGTTACATCCATTTCCGTTTCGAACAATTAGACGGCGATTTTGTCATTTATATTTACGATGTTCAAACAGAACAATCAGTGAGAAACTCTGGATTGTCGAAATTCTTGATTCAAGCCGTTGAATTGATCGGTTTGAAAATTGGTGTTCAAGCATGCGTTACATTCGTTTTCAAAGAAGATAAAGAATACATGGCAATATTAAATGGACTGAATTATCAATTTCACCATACATCTCCTTCAGTTTATTGCCCAGATAAACCCGAAAAATATAAACATGAGATATTGTTTAAGCCATTGACAAAAACAAATTAGAGGTTAGATTATTGTAAATATTTTCCTTTTATAAATTTAATTTCGCTACATTTTTATTTTTAATTTCAATATCCTTTTTATCCAATCAAATTTCTCCTTGCTTATAGATATTACATGCAGAAATACATTAAGAATATTGAAAAATTACATTAATTTACACGAGTGACAGATTAATTCTATTCGAAGTTCAAATGCTGTGAAGAATTTAATCATTATTCATATTTTCTCATATATAATTCCCCTTTGTTGGTCAAAAATCAGAGTAATTCATTATTTTCTTTTATATTCAATAATCAATTGAATGATTAATACAATATATACAATAGGAAGGAGTGAATTATTTCTAAAAACGAGGAATTATTGAGAATAGAATATGCAAAGATTTAACAAAAAATAAAAAACAAAAAAAAATTATTAAATATCATCCCACTCGGTCATATCATCAGAATCATCTGTGCAATACTGCCGCATTGATATCACCACTTCACCAGGACCTAAATTCTTCATATCATCTGGTCTTGGATATTTCCGCGGTCTTCCTCTCTTTCTCTTTATGATATTTCCGAATTCATCTTGGAGTGGAGGTGGTGCAGGTGTTGGCGCCTTTTTGACCTTTGGTTTCTGTGTAACGGTGGCATAATAATAATCATCTTCAGAAAACTCGAAATCTTCGTCAAATGACACAAACATATTGTTGGGAGAGCTTGGCTCAGCAGGGCAATGAAATCTAGTAGACATTTTTGAGGAAGAGTGATTCCGAGACTCTGCTTGTCGAATCTTTTCTTCAAGTTGTTCTGTTTGTTCCGCAGTGAGCTTATCAGAGTAGTGATCATAGGCCCTTGGCTTCCAAAACTTCGGTATTATCTGAATAGGCTCAATAAAGTTGTAGTTAGCACGCAATTTCCTTTCCTTTCTCGTTATTTCACTAAGACCTTCCTCTTTTCTAACAAGAACTGCGAGAGCTGGATGTCCGTGACGCTTGTCTATCTGTAATTCTATTCTTCTTTCAATAACTTCAAGTTCAAAATGTAGGTCTGATAATGCTGTGAGGTCATCTGTTAGTTTTACACAGGGCGATGGTGTCCTATGGGGTGACTCTTCAATCCACTCAGGAGTTGCAACTCTGGCAGGTCGAAACGGTGAAATTGCACGAGAACCTGAGCTACTGCATGGAACTGCAAACTCGACTGAAGGAGAAGATTGGTAGCCAGAGTGATCAGAACACATATCGCTATCAGAATTCTTCGAAAGAATGCTCACAAAGCCCGCGGATGACCCGCTCATATGCGATGAGATGAAAAAACCGCCTAAGTTTTATCAAAAATTTGACAACTATTGTTTGTCTCACTTTTTACTTTAAATTGTAATAAACAGAAATTCATCAAAAGTGACAGCTCTCAATTTTTTGACATTTGTAAATTCTAAATTGAATGAGAAAAATGAAATAATACTAAGCATAATACAATATTCTAGATTTAATTATAATTAGGAAAAAGTTAGTTTTGAGAGTACTTTTCATAGGCATATAGAATGAAATCTTCTGAAAAATAATATCACATAAACTCATATTATTTTCTAATATATAACTATTTTATATAAAAATCAAATTCAATGATCTTAAAAGCGAAGGATAAACCTCAAAATTTACGAATATAATGCTTATCTATCATAAAACCATATGAAATATCAATTTTTGCTTTACGCCTAATTTTTGACGACAATTAGCAAAAAATGTTAAATTTCAACAATCGGCACAACAACAATTCAAGCCACGAACGGCGGGACTCTGTTCACAACTACAGCACCAAACTCGTTAGTCATGAATCCTACGTCAATGTTAGTAGAAATGAAAAGCTTCATTCCTTCTTCATTTACTTTCAAAACAGAAATCCAGAAGATAAAGCAAGAACTTTTAACAAGTAATTTAGACTGTAGTGCGAAAGATGAAACAAATGAACAGTATCTTTATGAAATGGAGGACCTCATCGACCATTTGCCTAAACTACCTGAAATTCAGCAGCAAAAACTAACTATTCCTGAATTCGACGAAATTGAAGTCAAAGCAACTGACTCAGTAGAAATTAAGAAATTCATACGTAAAGTAAATTATGAATTCCTTGGTTTTCATTGCAACCATAAAGTTATGGACAAAGATTGCGACATGGTTTATAAAAATATTTCTGACCTTTACAAATCCGAAGAATTTAAGACATACGATAACTTTGTTTCATTAGTTGCAAAATGTGTATGGCAGATAAGAGATAAAGATAGAAGAGGTAAAGTATGGAATGAACAAATAAGACCCGCTATGTTTGAGATGAAGAGAGCAATTGACGCTTTAGTTATTTTAGCTGGTAATGTTTCAATGTATAACGCAAAAACGATGCCGCAATGTTCAAAATGTAAAGCAGCAATAAGAAAATATAACTACTCAGTCAAAGAGATAGAAAGAATGCGAAACGACTATGCAGACTTAAAGAAAGAAGCAGAAAAGCCAGCAGAAGATAAAATGGATATGTTGACATTTCTTAATAAAAACTATCCAACAGCAGAAGATTTCCTTCTGTCTGACGTCAAGAAGAAGTATAAAGAAACTTTCGGCATTGTTAAAACTTTTGATGTACTAAAAGAAGAAATAGAAGCTACGAAATTGTTTCGGATTTCAAATATACATCGTACAATTCATGTAAAACGCTTGTGAAAAATTAGGTGAAAAAACAGGTGAAAAAACGGGTGAGATCTCACCTCTTCACCTCAATTTTCTTTTTGGTCAAAGCTTCCACGAGAGAAAAGATTCCTAGAAAAGATTCCTCATTCGCTAAGGATTCCAAAAATGAAAAAATCATTGATTTCGGCTGAGAAAAAACAGCAAAACCCTTCTTCCACGGGAACAAAGAAATAAAGAAGAAATAAAGTAAATTTTTTATTTATTCCCGTGGAAGATAGAGCACTTTTATGACACTTTTTATTCACGACAAACAAGACAAACAAAGAAAATAAGAAAATACGGCGCTGTCGCGGTTCGAACCACAGACCCTGACCCCTCCATAACACCACCTGAGACCACTGTGCTACGTAGCCTGTCGACATAAGATTTTATAAATTGCATATTTGACGTAAATTTATTTCCATCTGGCTTCCCACCGCATAAGATATTCATACGTGTTTGTAAGACATTCATTAAACTTCTTTTCTATTGCATCTAATCTTGCGTTATTTTTTTCAATAACTTGTCTGTATTCTTCATCATTGTTAACCAATTTTTTATCTACAAATTTTATTAGTGTTTGATTCACTTCATTATGATAACGGTCATATTCTTTCAATACGTAAGTGAAGACAAAATGCGTCGTACCTTCAATCTTAAAGCTTAAAGAACTTTCAACACAGTTTTGAGGGTCTGTCAGTGCGTCAATGTGATAGTATTCGAAGTCAGTCAATAATCTTTTTAAGGGCATTTCATACAGGATAAAATTTAATGTTGTGAAGAAATAGTGTTTATCTCAGAAAAAATAAAGTTAGTTTTATTTTTATTTATTTTTTTATTTTGTATGTAAAGACAGTAATGACAACATCAGAGAAAACAACAACAGTTATAGTCCATGAAGCTATAAATGAAGAATACGAGTACATACAATATAACAAACAGTTACGTCTCATTCGTTCAGTCAAAGATGACATGTACCAAATGCAAAGTATAATGAATGCTCTTCGTTCTACAAAGCAAGCATATCATTGGTTTGAAAACCAACAGACAAAAGAACTTTTAGAAGAATTTCCTCATATGATTGCTTCCCTCGGAAAACCGGGGGAAGAGATTCCGTATGAAAATCGCAAGAATTTGGCTCCTGGTTTGAAAGGTTATTATGTTCATAGACTTTTAGTAAACGCTGTAGCAATGTGGGCTTCACCTCGTTATGCTTGTTATATTTTCATGATGTTAGATGAACTATATAAAGCAGAACATGGAGAGATGGAAAAGAAACTTCAAGCAAAAGATGAAGTCATTGAAGCAAAAGACAAAAGCATTCAGAAAAGAATACCACGTTCAGTACCAAAAGGAAAGGAAAAGAGTTATAAGTATATGATATATACTGAAGAGTTGGAGAAAGAAGAAGATAAAGATATGGTTATGTTGCATTTAGTCAGAAGAAACAACAAGAGCTTTTATGACTTAGCTAAAATATATAAATCTGACAGAAACTGGTTCTATCGTGAAAACTTACCGATTTCAATGACACCGAATGAGCAAATAAAGGAAATTGTCAAAAATACTCTTCCTCAAACACACTATGACATCAAAGGTTGCACAATACTTACATTCAAAGAAGACTTACCATTACTGAAGGAAAAAATAACAGAATATTTCGATAACTTCAAAGAGGAAGAATAAAAAAATCTAAGCTAATTTTATTTTTTTATAAAATTTTATCTCATATGAAAGAACATGAATTTAGAATATTCGGAACTCATGACAGAAGAAGAGAACGAACAACATGTAAAAGATTATGCAAAATTTCTGAAGACATACAAAGCATTTAAACAATATCTAAATGCTTCTAAAGATTATGCAAAATTTCTGAAGGTATATAAAGCTTATGAAAAAGCGTATGAAAAGTTTATACATTGGGGAATTGTTGTAAAATATCGATATGAAGACTAACCAAAAATATATTTTTGCTTAAATAGCTTCAGGGTCTATTTCTTCAACCATTTCACTTCCTTCGTCAATGTCAATAGAAGCTTCTTCAACCTTTGGTAAGAATTTCTGTATAACATCTTTGTTCGTTATTGTCTTCAGAGATGAAGGATAATATTTCACAGATGTTTCACCCTTCTTATATTCTTTCTGTTCGGAAAGATTTAAAGCAATACTGAAGAAGTCAATATTAGAGTTCTTTATAACAGTATAATGAGTATCTTTGACATTCACGAAGAAACTCTTTTGTTTCAAAACTACTGCTAACTCTTGTGAAGTATAACGTTTGCGGTCAATGACGATAGCTAATGGTCTGACATACTGACCAAACTTAGATTCTTTCACAAACTTCTTGTTAAAGATAACATTAACATTTGAAGCATTATTGAACTCATTCTTGATGGCAGTAGCGAGAGCATTGTATGAAAAGAACTTGCAATCTTGCATGTGTTTCATTAAAATAAAAATATTAAATTATTTTGAAAAATAACTTAAAAAAATCTAATCTAATTTTTTCAAAAAATATTTTTTATTTCCTACTAAAGATGTATCGGAAGTTGTCTAAGTTAGAACACTCGGAAATAAAACAACTTCTTACAGAAGCTAATATAGATGTTGCAAAACATTACGCGACAAACAAAAAAGCACTCGCTGACATCCTCAATGACTATAATGGTACAATAAGTTACGATAGAATTCATGAGTTCATAAAGCCGCAACGCGGCGAGGACGAAGTCCATGCAAGAGTATTTCCTTTAAATGACGTTGCTATTGACTTATATCATAGACGTTCAGTACCTCATGAAGTAAGAAGAGAAATGTTTGACATAACAAATGCGAACGTTGGTGAAACAAGAAGAAGAGACGACACACTGAACCAACAGAGAAGAGAGATGTTTAAGAGCGCTATAGAACAAGTTCGCAAAGCTAACGATGTCATTCGTTCCATTGACGACAAACCAAAAGAAGGTGAGAGATGGTTAAAGAAAGATGAAGAGAATAGGAAGAGAAATGTGAAGACAGGCAATAGACTCATTGACTTTAACATCGAAGCTTTAGATGAACCAAACAGAGACTACTTACACAAACATTTCGGTAAGGTTTTCATGAGACTCTTAGAGAAAATTAAAATAAACTCACAACAGAGATGGATGGTATGTTATAAACTTGGTGGAAAGTATGAATGTTCTACGTTAAACCTCAATAATATTGGAACATTACTACATCAGCTCTTGAAGGAGAACTTTATATCAGAGATAGAAGCAAATGCTGCAGGTATTGTTGAAATGCACTATGACTTCTTCTTGACAAACATAAAGAATCTTACCGAAATAAAGATGTATGATTTAACAGAATATGAAGGCTTAACGATGTCAGATGTAAAGAAAGGCAAACCAAAAAAGAGACCATATAGAGATGAAAGCACACTGACAAATGACCAGAAAGCCATTTTGGAAGCTCTTAAGCAAACAGGAAACCCAGCACTTATAGAAAGCTTTTGGAAAGATAATGGTGAAAAGAAGTTTTATAAGAAGAGAAGCGGGCAGTTCTGGAAGTATCTTTGCACATTACCTATAAATCTTGA